CCCCTCTGAGCAGGTACTTGGTGACTGCGGGGAGGAAGAACTACCTTAGAACAGGAAGAGACGTCCAGGTTAGAGGCAGCCACCTGTAGCAGGCGATTGGAGAGTGAAGAGAAGGAGAAGAACGAAAAGAAGTGCACCTGGCAAACATGCACACATATTCATGAGTCACTGTGTTCCTCAGGTTGAAAAAGCGTCAGGAGGAGGGTCAGTCAGAGGCCGGGAATTATGACGCTAGCGGCGACGGGGACGGAGAGGCAGAAAGCGGAGCCGCCGATGAGGACGCGAACGAGCCAGAACCAGGACCGGAAGCTGATCCCGAGCAGGCGCCCGAGTCTGCCTCCAAACTGAGCATGTGCGGCTCAGTGTGTTCCTCCCCCGGCAGCTGCTAGCGCCACATCGCCTCACAGTGACGATGGCAGCTCTCTCTGGCGGCTGCGGTGTTTGTGCCATGCCAACAGATACCTTCTCACCTCTCTCTCATGTCGTAGCCTACAGCGGAGGAAAATGACAGCGGGGCAACTTGGCGCACAGCAGCAGCTCCCATAACGGTTCCCCTCATTTACACCCCCCGCCCCCCATAGCATCTTTTTGGTAAGGCATGAATGAAGCGGAATCCCAGAGAGTCCCTGCCTATTGTACCTACCGCCCTAGAGTAAGCTCCAACTTCTATGCAATGTTACAGTATAGCATGACAAAATAATAAGGTATCACTTACTAGGAGGTGTCGTTCCATAAGCAGAGAGCCACACGAGCATGATGACATCCCGAGCAATAGCAGTCTACGGCTTTTTGAATAAGGTTAGTGGTTTTGGTGGAGGTGCCTCCCTTTATTATCCCTGTTCCAGATCCGATGGGGGACGACTGAATTATTCAGCACACGAAGGCACTCGGTTTATTTTATTGCCTGTGTCTTCCCCCCCCTTTCATGTGATGTGTGCCCTAATTTGGAACATTTTTTTCCTCCTGGAGCGCCTTCCTCTTGTTGCAACACCTTCCTGTGATACATTTCCAGTAAGTGTTGATGGCTGTCTGCAGTCAGCAAAGACAGTGTGACTGGTTTCATGTTGTAAACCTGTTTAAAGTTGTGCCTGTCGATGATGATCGGTATTTGTTAATCACACCGTAGCCATGGATGCGTTATAGGGCAGATTTTCCTCTTTTAAGTCTTAACCAGCTAGCTGTTTTTTCTTTTTTCCCCTTCAGGCCTTTTTAGGAGGAGAAGGTACTGAAGTTAAAATCAGTCCAGCAATCAGAATGAAAAGTTGTGCTTGTCACTGTGTCCAAAATGCTTACGAAGATTTAGTATTTTAGCCCTGCACCAAGCTCTGACCCAAAGAGGGTTCTGAAACTCAGCTCACTGCCAACAATGGCATCCTTTACACATCTATAAGAAAGCTCTGTTTGCTTTACTAGACTTCATCATCTTGTTAAGTGCTTAGTTTAGGACAAAGATCATGTCCCTGTAGAGGTTTGTTTGGGGTAGCTGTGCCCTGTCGGTACATCAAACTGCATAGATGAGCTACTCTTTGATTGTCGTAGTGAGAGTGGTACATTTTAGGGTGGCGCCGTTAATCTCAGTCTGAGAATATGTAGCAAAAGACCACCTTAAAAACCCGAAGGCCTAACAAATTGAAAAACCGTGTAAATAGCATACAGTGTAGGTAATTAAACTGACCACAGTTTTATGTGGGACTGCTAACTCGACGTGTAAACTTAAGGAAGAGCTGTGTGAAGCTTCACACCACTTCATCCCGCTCTTCTTTCCAAGTGTGCAGGCACAACTTGTAGGCAATATATGCCAAAGCTTTTCTACCATTTGCAACCATTTCTAAGGAACTTTGAGTGTGTGAATGTATGTCTCTTTATCCCTCTGATAACATAAAGTCAGTTATTTCTGCAAGTGAAGACATCGTAATTTATACAATCATAACATGATGATGTGCAAACTGTCTATTTCAGGTAATGCATCTTGGGAAATACACCTGTTTGCTGTCTTGATGCAGCATTTCCACCAGTAAAGCTGTTTACCCCGGCAGCTTTGACTGACCTTTGGGGGTTGGAGCCACAATTTAATGTTACACTCAGTTAATTTTGTGCCATCGCCTGCTGTAATGTTAATTGTGAGGTGCAGACAGAACAGTGTTGGCCTAAGTGCATCTCTGCACTCCCACTCTGCTCGGTCAACGAATGGTCTAGCCTCCACAGTGTAATTAGAGGACATGAGTGAAATATCACATGAACAGGTAAAACAGTATTAGCTACAATATTTGCTTCACTCTTTATTTACTTTTGCCTAAACAGCCAACAGAAACAGTTAATGCCCAGCTATTAACCAACTTGATGACTGAAGCTTTTGTATTTAAAAAAAAATTTGTTCTTGTGCCCAACAGGGGGATTAATTTAGGCCCAGTGGCTTTCCGGGGAAGATCGATACTCATGTCTTTGTTTTAAATAAAGAGCTAGAGTCAGGTAGTGATTAGCATAGCTTAACATAAAGAGTAGCCACAGGGCAAAACACCTTACCAAAACCTGTAAAAGCTTAGAAGTTAACATTTGTCTTGCGTGATTAATTCTTATATAAATATTAATGTAGTGTTAATGTGCTCTGCTGGTTAAACAGCTAGATGTAGTGAATGAGTGGTCCTTAAAGGATGGATAAAATGTTCAACATGTAGCTACACCACTAACTGGGCTGCTGAACCACCAATGGTTTGATTTCGGGCTGATGGTCATGTGACAGGCAAGAGTTGTGATTTTGCTGGCAGGGCAGCTCTAGCTTTGTAACGTCTTTCTGTTTTTAAAGCTACAAATAAGAACTTGATAAATTCTGTGTTAATGTTCTTTCAGTGTTATAATGTGAGAGTTGCCTAGTAACACATTGTTCTAACATAATTATGAAAAAAAGCCAAACTCTGATACATTTTATTCAAGTAATGTCACTTGATAGTAAAGTGTTACCAGTTGACATGTTTCAAATGGAACCTTGAATATCAATCTAACATGAATTATAAAGCACACAGAGCTCCGTATAGTCTACTGTAATAATACATAGCTCATTAGTTCAGGTGTGGGCTTCTTCACTATTAGTCTCATATGACAGATCGATGTGTTAGCCTAGCTCACAATGAATATTTTTTTCTAGGAGCTGAGTCGTTTTACTACAGTTTCGCACATGCAGGGTTGAAAAATATTTACAGTGTTCACAGTAACTCTGATATGATGTGAACATAGCATTAACCTCTATCAAAAGAGACAAAAGACAGTATCATATTTGGCTTATGACATGTTTGCTCTTAGCTAGCTTGCTAACATTAGACGCTAGGATACGGAGACTTGTGATTACAGCTTTTTCACACCAGCCTTTTTAATATGAAATACCAGGTAAACATGTTCTACAAATGACATTAATGAACGTTCTGTTATTTTAACTTTGAAAAGCTTTAATTAATGTGATAAGTTGACCTATGTTTATTTAGCATTTTATGTCAAAATGGCTGCTGTGTAGTCACCATAGCTAATTTTAAGCTAACCTAATAGCTGATACTTTCAAAACGCAGGCTGACTGCTTGATAAAGTTTTTTTTTTTAAAATAAAATGGATCTATTATTAAGTGCTTGTTGAAATTTTAAACCTCCAATAAAACTCAGACAAGCAGGAAGTTGATAAAATGATGTAACTTCCACTGTTAAGCTAGGCTAACGGTTCCCCAGCTCTAGCTGTACAGTTGACGCTCAAACGTGACAGATGCTTTGACCTTGTTCCCAAAGGGAAAGCAAATAGGTGTGTTTCCCAAAAGTAAGCTGTTTCTTCAAAACACTACATTATGATTAGATTAAGAAGCTTTCTTAAAGAGACATGAAATGTTATCTTCCAAGTCTGCCAAAACGCGTGAGAAATTGAATAGTCTTGAGCCCTGTGCTTTTATTTTTGCATGTACCTTTACAGTATAAGCCTGTTTTTTGCCAAAGCCTGGAGCTTGAGCCCTACCGGCTGATTTGTGCATGCACAAGCTTTTGGTAATAGCATACCTCGACGCTCACCTGATTATCGACACAGTCCAAAATCAGAGTATAACCGGCCTGCGTGACTGTTTACTTTAAGCTGTACAAATTGTATAATCCCAGTGTTACATGGACGGCATGATATTTTAGATGATATGCAGTACCTTTTTGACATCCTGTAGGTTGTCTTAATGCTTTGTTCCAAGTATACAGGCTCGTACCCTCATGGTGAGTGGAATGAGGTCAGCAGCTGTGTGTCTGTTGTGGATTAAGTGTTGCATTGTTGTCTCTGCAGCAGAAGATGAAGATTTGAAACTGGGGCATGTTTTCACTTCACCTCAATACAGAAATTGCTGCATTAAAAAAGAAAAAGAAAAAAAAACAAAACAAAACTGATTGTCTCCATTTGTGGTTATTTCTCAGACTCTGTCGGCACAGCATCAGACTCACCGTAGGCCTGAGGAGTGTGTGGAACAATGTGTTAATTATGTAAATGGGAAATATTTGATTTTAACAGTTAATTTAGGCGTAACTTTTCTCAAAGTTACACCAAACTAATCTAGGCTTTAGTTCCTTGATATCAGTGATCATTCCTACTTGGATCGTGCTTGCAAACCCTCCCGACATATTTCTTCATGTATTAATGTTCTGTGTTTTAAAACAAGCCATCATGCTATATAGTTTGACCAGCAGCAGCATGTCTCAACCATTTTCTCACCCACTCTTTTGAGATTCTGTAGGTGTCTTAAGTCTGTGGTTACAGTTTGAAACTCAGTGCCCCGTCGAGAAAAGAAATCAAGAAGAAAAATGTGATCCATGCCACTCGTTTCCTCCCTTATGATCCTACTTTGCATAATGTTCTTGTGCTGCAGGATTTTTACAGGGAATCAGTAAAAGGCCTTGTTGCTGAAACGGAAACTGCTCCGTGTGTTCAGAAAACATGCTGCTTCAATCGCTTTGATAATGAAAATAAATCTCCTTCCAATAATTTGGCGTGTGTGTCATTTTTACCCAAATGCAGCTTTAATGGCAAAGTTTGTTTGCAGACAGTAGGGGGCAGTGAAGAGCAGGGGCATGTACTGGGTGAACAGAGGCGTCCCTGGTGAACTGATCTCTAAATAGCAGCGTACAGTGAAGAGGAATCTAGGACTGACTAGAATAGAGACAAGGCTGTCACAGGATTTGTAAGTATACATAATGCAGAGGCTTGGCTTTGTTCAAAACAATTCCTCTTTTTTTTTTTCTTTTTTTTTTGTATGATACAAACTTCATATGGAAAAATATAGAATAAATGCATAGACAGTTTCTCTTTAACAAGAAAATTCAAAGTCCACCCTATATGGATGTCTGCTTGGCTCAGGACTGGCTTCTCTCCACTGGATCTTCAAGGATGTCCACAGCCGTCTTTCCCACATTGTCCATCAGGTGGCGCCACTTTGGGGCCTCAATGGCATCCAGAAGAGCAGCCAGCTCAACCTCCAACTTTTCAACTGTGTCCTCCACTTGCTGCAGGAAGCGTGAGACATGCGTGGTTGACAAGTAAATAATACATTAATAAGTTGTAGTATGAATAATAGAATTATCACTGATGAATAATGAATCTGAATGAATAAAACAGTTTCCCAAAACAGCTGGTAACGCAAGGTAAGGTCTGAGTAGGACTGGGGTTTGCTGGATGAGATGATGTAGAGATCTGGAGTAGATCACTAGTGTATTAATAAAGTTATAAAAAAGGAAATGTTGAGGAATATTGGGCATTCATTCTGTCAAAACCAAGGAGGGAGGGACTTCCAAACCCTGATGGTTTCAAACCACTGAGGCCTAAATGTGAGGTTAGATTAGAAACTACACCTTCTCCACTACATCCAGGCGGTGGTGAAGATTCGTGTGCTCCTGACAGGCGCTTGAACGCACCGCTCGAGGCAGAAGGTGGGGCTCAGGACCTGAAAACACATTAGACGTATACTCAGTGTTACAGATGCACAGTATAAGCAAACAAGATGTAATAATGAATCATGAAAGGTACTTAATAATATGCTGTTTTTAACACCGTATGAGAGACGAGAATAAGGAGATGAATTTATTCCTGTGAGCTTAACAAAACTTTAGTCACACACTACAGGAACTGCTCCAGTATGGGATGTTAAAGAGAGAGGTCACATTATTGCTGAGGTATAGAAGTTAACATCAGTGCCTTTGTTCAGCTCTCCTAATCAGCCGGCTGATTAGGAGAGCTGAACTAAAAGACGGATCACTCATCTGTTTTATATCAGCTCAGAGTTGTGTAATCCTAGGCTCACTGTGTTCACGCAGGATTGGAGGTAAATTAGAACAATGCAACTGCATGCAAAGATAATGCAAAAGCAGGCATGTTTTTACGGGACATGCAGCTGCTGGTCACAGTTTAATTATGCACGGGAAGCACATCATTTAAACATGGCAGTGTCTTAGCAGTGCATAGCCATAAGATGTGAAATCTGCCATTTACCTACAACTCTGGGCTTAATAGGGCTGTTATCCCCCCAAAGCATGAATACATTTAAAAAATAGAGCAAGCCTCAAATAATAACCACATGGGTGTGGTTCAAACTGAATATTCTTGCCAACATACTGTAGCTTTACGAAGAATAATGTACAAACTCTTGCCTCTTGTTTCTAACATCATTGTAACCACTAAATAAGAAATAAAGGCACTTCCTGTCAACATTGCTCATATCTATGAGTCCAAAGTGTTTTTTATACACAATATTTGGCAACCTAAAACCCTTTGTTGGCAAACCGTGTGGAGTTTACCACATCATGGGAAATGTTAACAGTCTGATGAAAATCTTGATGGGTCTTGATAATCATTCAGAAATAAAACAAAATCCAGTTAAATCCAGTTTGTTCCTGCTTTATGAGATAATAGCCGTACTTGACGGGTGGGTAAACAACAGAGTTCGTATCTTGTGGCCATGCATTACTAAGATGTTGCCACAGTGCCTTATTAACTTGTGGTCAGGACTTCATTATCACATTCTCATGTATTACTGACTCGTGGTGAAGCAAAATTTTGTGGCTACCCACTAATATTTTTTTCCATCCATGCCACCAAAAAGGCTCTGGATTTGTTAGCTTGAGTGGCAGCTCGGGGCTTTGTCAAACTGTTTCAAAAACCGAGAGAGAAGAGGAGTTAAAAGACAACAAGACTGGAGGGAAATATGAGAAGAAGAAGAGTTCATGGTGAGGTGAATTAGTCTAAGGACAAAAAACACTCCCAAACTGGCGTCTGTGCTAGCTAGCTTGCATCTATCATCATCTCTACATTTGTCTCACTGAGTGTTTGAGGATGAAAATGTATTTCCTACTCTGTCTGAGAGGTTTTAGAGGAGCTTGTGGCTGATTTTGTTCCCTTCAGACAAAGCCAGTTTCATTATTTCTTATGTTTTCCACTATTTCTGTCAAGCTAAGCTAAACAATTGACTGTAGTTTGAAGTTTTCTTACTACAATGATCGTACCATAGTACGAGTTTTGTTTGACTAAACACTTAAAAACATGGTGACCAATTAGAACTGAAGTCCTTATATCATAGACATACAGCGTAACAAACGATAATTCTTTCTAGTCAAGCTGAAGACAAACAGGACTTAAACCCTACGCCAAGTACTCCTAAAACTATGTGAAACCTTTCGTTTTTAATTTTTTGTGTTGTCTCTGTGCCGTTAACATTCATATTATAGAGAATATTAATATATTTCAAATATAAATGAATTATTCTGAAGGTTAAATAATCAGCCTGCAGATAAAACCTTCAGATTGCCTGCAAACATGTGAATCCAGTAAGATACCGTGTGTACTATAAATGCGATTTTAAGTTATTGATGGGTGCTGTGTCCCTAAGCCCCTTGAATGTGTCTTTTAAATCTATATGTTAAATGCGTGCAGCGTTTGGCCATGCAAACACAACGGTACTCCATGTAAACAAGCTCAAGAATTACACGTTGGGTTTAGTTTGTCTTTAAAACTGAAAAGGTTTCTGTGCAGATTGACTTTATCTTGCAAAGAAAACAAATAAATATCAAAGTTTATATTATTGTTACATGTCCTTATAAAGAAACAAGTGTTTGCCATCTGATGTACATCTTTAATGTAGAGCTGAAAACTAACCAGAGGAAATGTGCTTTTAGCTTATGTTGCTTATCTGCTCGTTTCCAAATGCAATGCTCCTTTTAACAGTTTATATTTTCTTGAATTATGTGACTCTTTAGTTAAACAGCAGCCGATTGATCAGGCCTACTTGAAGGCCACAGTTAGTATGCTGAGGAGACAGCCGTGATGCTTGGTGTTAATTCGCTTCAGCAGGCCAGAGAGGGCCACATGCATTGTCCCAGGCATTTCCCTTCTCACACTTAAGTTTCCAATTATCTGTTTCTCTTTGAAGCCCGGGTATTTGGGGGACGCTTCCGTTCACTTGCAGCTCTCTGCTTCTTTTTTTAACGTCTTCTTATCGGCGACAGGCCAAGCTCCCCTTGATAGTATTTATTCTTTATAAAGTAAAGTGACTGTCTCATCCACTGGCTGAATGCTTGCAGCTGTGAAGTCACTCTCATTTAGAAACAACGAAACACTTGGTGTGAATGTAGACGGCTAAGGCTTGACAGCATGTTATTGAGAATTAGTGATCTTTATGAAGTGTTTGGCTGACCCTGACCCCTAACTAAGTATTGTAGTTAGGGGTCAATTAGTCATTTTTTCTTTTGTGGCCAACACACAAAGAGTTGTACTCCCTTGTTCAGCTGTACCTGAACATCAAGCTGCCCTGATTTTACCACAGCCTCTCATGGAAACATTTTTACAAGCACCATTATGGTGTTCAGGGAGTGCCAAGTTCAGTACATGCAGGAATCGGGCCAAGAAAGAGCGATGGATGATGGAAGGTACATTAAATTCATCAGGCTTCCCAGCAAGCGGACTAAGCAGATGTCTGCCTCGGTGTGTGCTCCGCAGTGGGGGTTTTGTTGCACTCACTCTTGTGTATGAGGACTTGGCAAAGCTCGCTGCTTTGATTTGACAGTGACAGATGAATTATGAAAAGTCTGCAAAAGACATGAAGTTTTCCTACACTGGATCTACACTAAAGAGCCAGATGTGAATTTATCAAAGTGGCGGTTCTTGCTGTTGCATCTCACAACAACCACAATCTTTTGTTGTAGTGAATGTGCTGCTGGTTTCAAAATCAAAAACAACAGGGGGAAGAAAGGGGGATCTGGTTGGGAGTGAGGGGGGCGGAAATCCCTCCAAACCACAGCTGCGCTTCCATCTAAGTGTCAGCGTGTACACAGCGCAGCCTGCTCTTTTAGAGTAAAACTTGCAACGGGGAGCTACATGCTAAAGTTTGTGAGTCTGCCTTTTTTTGCAGATGCGATAAAAAGGGGCGGATGCGAAATCGCCAGCTTGTGTTAACAAACGGCAAGAAGGCATTTGTTCCTGTTTATGTTGGCATGTGCTTTCAGGCCATCTCGCTGAAGACTGTTTTTCCTCTTTCAGAGCTCTTCCAAGAGGTTAAGAAATGCACATGCACACGTAAACACACATCAAGAAAACACACCACAGGAAAAGCAAACACAGATATGACGATCTAACACAGCTGCAGCTGAGGACAAAGGTCAACTACCTGGTGTGTGTGTTGAGCGTGTTTGTATGTGATGCTTTTCATGGCTCTCTATAGGAGAGCAGGAGTTCAGCTGAGTGTAAAATTGAAAAGTCAATACAGGTCAGAGCTCACTGTTTAACTGACAGCCGCATTACTTTTAAAGTTTAAGCTACAAGTCAGCTGACATTTCAGACCTTTCCTCCTTACTCCACACTGCTGACAACCAAACTGACACTTTGGTTGGGTAACTTTACCTTCTCCTTTCAGTTTAAAACCTTCTGCAGTACTGGTCTGTTGTAGTAAAGAGAGAGCTGAGCATAAAAGCACAGTTGGTGATTTACCAGTGGACCCATATTTCTACTTCTACCCATGGTCACGAGCTTCTGGCAATGACAGAAGGAATGAAATTACTTCCCTTGGGGTGGTGGTACTCTCAAATAGATATAGAGTGAGAAGCTTGGACACTTGGAAAGGGTTCAGAGTAAAACAGCCTCCTGGAAGCCTCCTAGAAGCAGAAGCAGGAGAAAATACATCTCTCGGCTGGCTTGGTCTTGGTATCCCACCGGAAGAGCTGGAGGAGGTGGCTGGGAAGCGGGAGGTCATCCCTGCTTACACGTGAATTATACTTCTGCGTCAGATCTACTTTGTAACTAACACCATAACCAGAACCCCATTTTAACAGCCTTCTATGTAACCTGACATGAACCTCCTGAGAAGTATAACTACACGCCAGGTCGATGCATACCACAACGACTTGAATGGTGTGGAAGGTTGATACAAGATTTCAGTTACTGCATAAATTAGGACAGAGATTTCCTGTAGAGGTTTAAATCAAGCTATGGATGGATGGATGGGCGGATGGATGGCTGCTGGATGGATGGTTGGCTGTTGGATGGATGGATGGATGGATGGATGGATGGATGGATGGATGGATGGATGGATGGTTGGCTTGATGGATGGATGGTTGGCTTGATGGATGGATGGCTGATGCATGGATGATGGATAGAAGGATGGCTGCTAGATGGATGGATGGATAAATGGATGGATGGTTGGATGGATGGTTGGCTTGATGGATGGATGGCTGCTGGATGGATGGATGGCTGCTGGATGGATGGATGGATGAATGGTTGGCTTGATGGATGGATGGCTGCTGGATGGATGGATGGTTGTGATGATGGATGATGGATGGGATGTGTGGATGGATGGATGATGGATGGATGTATGGATGATGATGGATGATGGTGATGGATGATGGATGATGGATGGATGGATAGATGATGGATGATGGATGGATGATGGATGGATGATGGATGGATGGATGGATGGATGGATGGATGGATGGATGGATGGATGGATGGATGGATGGTTGGCTTGATGGATGGATGATGGATGGATGGCTGTTTCGGTGGCATGCAGTGACTCCAGTTTAGTTGACACGTCAGTCAGCTGAATGCTACTTTCAGCTGACTGTGAAATAACTAAAGACAGCACTACCCCTGCTTTGCTTGAATATAATCAGCTGATTTCACTTGACTTCACTTTTCACTGACGCTTCCATTCTTTCATGTAAAAACAAACGAACTTGAACTATTTTCAGCGTGTTAAGTTCATCAAAAAAGCCATCTGGTTTCTGTGCGTACAAGTCAACTGTCACGTCCACTGCTTTTGCCTCTTGCTCTGTGACAGTTCAACTGTTTTCACTACTTTTTCATTTTGTAGCATTTACATCTTTTCTTTTTAAGATAACCCAACACACGAGTCTATAACTATTGTATGACCCAATTATCTTTTCATACTTAGTGTGTGAAATAAAAACAAAGTTTTTAGATGATATCAACTGTGGTCTGTGTGTTTGTGTGTGTTCACTCTGTTTGCTTCCTGCAGTTGGCCATTCTTGTAGTATGAAGTCAGTGTAATTCACACTCTGAGGCTGTCACACACAGATTTGGCTCTGAGGGATTGTCCCACATATTTCTGAATTTCCATTCGATTTCGGTGACACTGGAACACGCAGAGCTCAGAAATGCTGGTTTGAAGCGGCAGATGAACACGATACATGAAGTGATCGTTTGAGAAATACTCGCAACGTATTCGCTCAAGTGTAGCCAGAGCTGCAGTTAAATTAGTAACAGATGTGCTGGCAAAATCCCGAACACACTCAAACATGCATGATGTCAGTTTGGCGCTCATGTGAGCACGCACACACAAACACACACACACAGACGCACACACATCTGCAAACCTCTAAAGTCTATTGCACTGTGCTACAAACATGTAGTAGGATGGAGATGATCGGATGTATCTCCACTAAGCGGATCCATAAATCAGTTTTAGCAAATCAAAACGCTGATCTCTGTTCTGTGTTCTCTGACTCTTCCTGTTTGACCTGTGACCCCCACCTCCACCACGATACACACCGCACTTACCTGCTGCGGCATAGCCAATCAGGAGGAGGAGGAGTCCAATCGAGGAGCCGGAGGGGCAGCTCATGATGAAGACAGAAACCTGGCGGGCAGCTGGTGGCAAAGAGTGAGGAGTGTGAGAGAAAAGAAACAAAGAAGTGAGAGCCCCGAAATCTCTTTTAACTCAAAATTAGGATAAAAACCCAAAGATTTCTGCTTCCATAAAGCTCTTCTCTTCTCCCTCTCTGCCCCGTGTTCGGTCCTTTGCTTTCTAATCCTTCCCTCCCTGACTTGGTTGAGCTCACTTTCCTAATGAAAACATTAGAAGCGGGACAAAAAGTTCAGATTCTGGGAAGGGGCGGGAGAGATGTCTGGGGAGGGGACTCCTCTTTTTCAGCTGCACACTGGCAAGCCTTTAAACAAGGTTGTATTTAGTTTTGAGTTACTGGCATTCATCCTAAAAAGTACCTGTGGTGGCTTGTTGTTTTTGTTTATATGAAAGATAGCAAACTAGCCACTTTATTAGGTACAGATGAGGACAAAATTATTAGACCCCCCCCCACCAAATTTTCCCAACTGCTGTTTTAAGAGAACAAGGGACTTTCAACACAGTATTTCTAAGCATTCGAGTTTTCTTTAGAAAGCATAAATGATTTCTTTTTGCACAAATATCAGAATCATTTCAGAAAAACACCCAAAACTTCAGGAAAGGTTTGAGCTGTGAGATAAGAAAGCACCAAAATAAAAAACAGTTTAGGCTTAATAAAAGAATTGGTGATGCCCAGAAAGCAGGAGATAGACACACAAAGTTATCACAGCATTTCCATGCATCAAGACGTGGAGTGAGAAATATCATCAAGAAATTCAAAGAGAGCCACACAGTATAGAAGAAGCCTGGCAGAGGGAGCAAAAGATTTCAAAGATCTAGGAAAGAAAACTAGCGAGAGACGTGTCTAATGACAACTGCTAATACACTCGTGAACGACTTAGTCAAGTCAAGAATTGGAGTCTCAAAGAAGACACAGACCGAGAGAAACGCCTTCAAGCCAGACTAAAGTGTGCTAAGGACAACCTGGAGAAAGGGTATTCATACTGGAAGCATGCCCTTTCGTCAGATGAGATGAAACTGTTTATGTTTGGAGAAAGAACAATCAGAAGAACACTGTCCCCACAATGAAACACTGTGGCGGGAGTATTAAGCTGTGGGGATTATTCAATGTTTCTGGAACTGAGAATCTCATCAAAGTTTGAAGGAATCATGAAGAAAGAAGGATATATGAAGATTTTATTTGATTTTGTCTTCCAACGCAACGGCAGCATGGGCTGGGATTGCTCAGGAGACAACTGCTAAGACACTGCAGGCTGTTATTCAGCAAAAAAGGACACATAATCGACCATTAGCGTCAGGTGGGCTAACAGCCAATCACGTGGCAGCAACTCGGTGCATTTAGGCTGTTAGAGATGATCAAGACAACATACTGAAATTCAAACTGAGCATCAGAATATGGAAGGAAAGTGATTAAAGTGATTTTGAATGTGGCAGACACACAGGACTAAGTGTTTTGATATCTTCTGATCTTCTGTGATTTCCCCACAACCGTCTCTAGGATTTAAGAACAATGGTCCAAAAAGGAAAAAAATATCCGGTGAGTTAAAAGTTTTCTGGGTGAAAATGCCTCGTTGGCATCACAGAATAGCAAATAGGAAAGCAACAGTAACTCAAATAACTACTTGTTACAACCAAAGTATGCAGAAGAACTTTGTCTTTTATCCTGTCTTCCTTCTCTCACCCCAACCGGTCGCAGCAGATGGCCCCACCCCTCCCTGAGCCTGGTTCTGCTGGAGGTTTCTTCCTGTTAAAAGGGAGTTTTTCCTCCCCACTGTCGCCAAAGTGCTTGCTCATAGGGGGGTCATATGATTGTTGGGTTGTTCTCTGTATGTATTATTGTAGGGTCTACCTTCCAGTATAAAGCGCCTTGAGGTGACTGTTGTTGTGATTTAATGTATAAATAAAATTAAATTGAATCGAACATCTGTGAATGCACAACTTGAAGGAGATGAACTACAGCAGCAGAAGGCCAGGTGCTACCTTCAGTTCACATGGACCAAAACTGGACAATAGAAGAATGAAAAAAAAGTGTTAAGGTAGTTCTGAAGACAACAGGACGTCCAACACGGTATCATCAAGGTGTACCTAACAAAGTGGCCAGTGAGTGTATGTCCCGAAGAACAAGATTTCAAGGTTTTATTTATAACTCATAGCAGTACTGTATTACACTGATTTACATCGCTACCCTGCAGTGCATCCAATCTTATCTCTATCCAGACACAAGGTAAGACTGATGTAGACAATTTTCTTTTAATTTCAGTTTTATTATTTAAACAGTTTTTTGATCAAATCAAGAGAGGGTCTGAGGCTATCTGATAACATCCACCAGGAGGTTATTTCTGTTCAGCAGGAAGACGAAGAAATCAAAATCAATTCAGCAGCAGACAATGCCCTTTGTAATCGCATTGATTGGTTCCTGTTATTCCCAGTAAACATACTTCTCCTGCTCTCTCTCTCTCTGTGTCGATGACTCACACACATTGCCACACACAAACAGCAAAGACTGTTACGCATTATCTAACCTTATTAAGCCGGAGTGTCTACAGCCTTCCTGCTCTGTGCTCATTTCTTTGGCCGCTTAAGCAGATCTACAGGTTAAGAAGCAGAAAACAACATTGGCGGAAAGTGAGCAAAGGGATCAGCGGAGAGAAAGAGAGTCAGCGGACATTTATGTCTGTTAGCCGATCCAAACCAGAGATACAGGCCGAGGACACGGGGAAATATAGCTATGTGTCTCACACATGGTCAGCATTACAGAAGCATCAACAGGAAAACGGGATAAGAAAACTGAAAGAGGCAACAACACAAGGAAAGAACAATAATTTCATCCTGTCAGAATAAATTTAATACGCCAGAAATCAAAAGCAAACTTTTATATGCTGCATATTCAAAAGCTTGGACACATTTGATAAAACATAAAGACAATTTCCCCAATTGCTATTTCATTTATTTAGAAAACACAACAGCTGTAAATGTAGCAGTAAGCCTTAATATGAATGAAATCCACACACAAACACACATTATAGTCACGCATATATATATGTGTACCATTAGAATTTTAAAGAACTGCAATTAGAACTGGAATTTGGAGTTCCCCTCCCCAACCCTCCCTTTTTACAATCAACAGGCTAATAAATGTACATATGTGTCAGAGTTCACCCTGTGACCATTTAGCTAATGCGTGTTTTCAGGCATCAGACGCAACGTAAAGAGCAGAGCATCTGCAGAAGCTCACAACCAGAGGATCACAGCCGGCATCACGCTGAGCCACCGTGTGACAGACTGCTGGAAGCGAGGTCACCTTCCCACTGCCTATTTCTGTCCTCCTGTCCATACGTCTCTTTGTTTTCTACTGCAACGCCTGCCAGTAGTTATGATGACCAGATGTCACCACAGTCGTGGAGAGATTAAGAGGACCCTCGGCGGTGGTCATTTCATCGTCTCCACCTCGACACGGATCTCATTATTGCTCCTCGCTGCCAATATGTGACCTCAGCTCTCTGGCATACACCATGTTTTTGCCACTTTTGTAAGAAGCTAAGTCTAATCTGAGTGAGATGTGTGGTGGTGTGTGTGAAGTCTGGTTTAGAGACAAGTCAATAATTGGCCTCTGGGTTCCCTGGATTGTCGCAATCCCACTTCGTGTTTGCTGTGTTTAAAAAAGGAAACCTTTTCGCATGTTCTCACTATTCAGGTTTGTACTTTAATTACTTTGCACACTAGATCAGGATTCTCAAGCTTTTTCAGAAATGGACTCCTTACAGTATAAAAAAATAAAACGAGAGGACCTGTAAGTGTTGCACCAAAACCTTTACAGAACACATGGCGCCCTGTTTGCTAAAAAAGTACCCTAACTTTTTTTTGTGCGCCATTTAACTTCTTTCACTCCACAATACACCTGAGTTAATAAGTTAAAGTTCACAGACCCAAACGCATGCTCTGTGTTCAGTCCTTACTGCAGTCATTTAGGAGAAACGTGACTGGGGTTGCGTTGCAACATTGCTACGTCAGTGTTTTGATATGCTAGCACCTGAGGAGAGATCACTTACTTTGATGTCTCATCGACAGTGATCAAACAAAATCAAAGTAAACAGTTGTTGTCGTCCATCTATTTTCTTCTGCGTATTCAATTAAGGATCATGGTTGGGATGGAGCTGTCATAGGATAGGCAGGATATCTACTGTAGTCCATCGTGTTAGCCATTCACAATCAAAACCAATTTCTAGAATCCCCTTTAAACCCAACTTACATGTCTTTGGACTGTGGGAGGAAGGAAGGGTGTGCAAAGAAAACTCACACAGATGCAGGGAGAATGTGCAAACAGTTGTATTCAAACCCCAAAACGTCTTACTATGACAAAACACTGCTAACACTACAGCACCATCGTCCAACGTCCTAATGGATATTATCTTAACCTAGCATTGTATCATCTTACATGATTGTTGTTGTATTTTTTTTTCACCTTTCATTTGTTTACTGATGAATTATATCAAAACAAACGGATGGAGCCACTGCCACGAAACATTTTTGGAAAACCTTTTGAAGCCTCTAATTTGACATCTTGGTTGTCCCTAGCTCATTTTTATTTATTTATCTTTTTTAAACCAGAACCATTATCTGCTAACGTTAGCATGTGTGCACTGCAGGGGGCATCGTTTCCCAGTGTAGGATTATAACTTTCGCTAGCAAAAACTAGCATATGTGTTGTGGTGGTTTATTGCTACACAAAATGTGCTCACTGAAAAATTGCAGAGCTTACTCCTTATAAAGTATTTTAGAACAACCAAACACTAAGCATGCAGTACACTATGGCCTAAATTAGCTTCTGGTTGTTTGGCTAATTTTGTATTCGAAGTGTTTATAAAGCCCTTGTCAGAAATGGGATGTATAACATTGTTCCCTTTGTTAGTTTTATTTTAGTTTATTTTTTTTAGACATTGTTCACTTTGACTTTCCTTATGGCTCAGTTCAGATTGTGATGAAAGTACTCTGCAGAGATATAGTGCAATATTTGACATACTCAAGCACAAATAGCGTACGTTGTGATCTTATCTCGTACCTGTTCGAGTGGTATTTCATGTGTATGTCAACAGCGATAAAAAGGAGCTGAGAGTTCAAACTCTAGCTGTTCTGTCGCAACTTAGAATTTATGGATTGAAGTGGGTGTAAGTGACTGTTAGTTCTGCCAGTTCACCTCTGGATGTCTTGGAGAAGACGGTTTCC